AGGCGAAATCTGAGAGCAACTCTGCCTGCTTAATGCTGAAGAAAAACCATGTTGTTGAACAAGCCACAGGGAGAGAAAGCTAACTATCCACAAAAGTTCAAATTCTTATTACTTGTCTCTGCTCCAGCAGTTCCCCTGATAGAAAGGAAGTGAGCTCACCCTGTGGATTCAGTGAGTACTTCACACCAGCCCTAACCAGGGGGAGTGAAGGGAAGAGGAAGTGCTCGTGTAGCTGGTGACATCTGCAAGCTTTCCTCCAGCACATGGCTTGGCACATCTCCTCCAGCACACAGTCCATCATCTGAAACAAACGTGCGTAGGAAATCCCAAGCCTGGTATAGATTGCTGCTCTTCTTACATGATGCATGTGCATCACACTTAGTTGGCTTGTGGTTTGGAGACAAGGGTGATTAAAAATAATCACTGTTCTGTCCAACTGTGGGAGTTACCAGTGCAGTATATTCTGCCCCACTCCAGGAAGTAATGGATAACCGAGACAATGCAAAAGAGCCTGCAAAAAGCCTGCCGTGGAGCTCTTCCTTGGCTTTTCAGTTAAATGGCTAATAGGTGTTATAGAAAGAAGAAAAGCCCGAATGAGATGGAAGAGGTGGGATCTATGCATCCTGTTCCAGTGAATGACTGCAGCAATTAAGCTCAGGGTTCCCTCAGCTTCTCACTTCGACGCCTTCAGAAGAAACATGCAAGTTCAGATAAAATCCCAAGTGATCTGAATCCACGTTGTAAAGTTGTCCTAGAGCTCAACAAAAAGCACTCCGTCTTCACCAAGCCAAGTGTGAAGTAAAGCATATCCAGCATTTGCACACATGTAGTATAACACGGCTCACAGAAACATACACACTTCCGTAATGCTTTAGAGAATCAAAGCCCAATACATAATTTATCTACTACACTCTTAGAAAGTAGTTATTACTGCACATACCATACATGCATAAAAACAGACAATGAATTTAAATGACTCGTCAAAGGCCACAAAACAAGTTGGCGGCTGAGCCAAGATAACGTCAGTTCCTGAAGCGCAGGCCTCCGAATTATCCGCTATCAGAGCGCAGAGCATGCTACAAAAGTAATTTTGCCCTGTGAAAACACATGGCGCGGGGGAGGTTAAAAACCTTTATAACTTCTGAAGATACGGCAATTCAGCTCACATATTCGCTTTTACTAGCCAAACCTATAAAGTCAAACCCACATGTGGATACTAGCTGATCTTTCATTTTTCATACCATTAATTTCACTGTAAACTAGGAATTGACCATTTTAGCAACAGTCAAACATGGGCAGGCACAGTAAGCACCAAGAATTGCTTAGAAAATAAATTTGGGACCACACATAAATACGTTGCTAGTTTAATTAAACTAGCACAGAACCTCACCAGACACTTCTCAAACAGTGGTTCTCAGAGGGCTTTAAGGGCTCTCCCTCCTACATGTCAAAGAAATTTTTCTTACTGATAAAGACTGTAAATACGAGCTAACTATCCATGCCCTTTCAGCAGCAAAAACAAACAAGTACAAGACAAAGTGTTCAAGCCTACAGTCATTCTGGTGCAAAGATAAGGCAGAAGTAGCAGCTGTAAAATGTGAATGATGATGCTGACCTCCAAAGTACAGCATCTGATATTTCTTTACTGTCGTATTTTTTATCAGTGAGAACATCACTGCTATTATTTAGAATAGGGAAGCATGTATGGAGAAATAGTTTCATTTTCAGCAACTTTAAAAAACAACCCTACTGGAAAGAGATGTTACTTGGAAAACAGAGTTAAGTTACTATTAGAGGGTCATTAATAGCGAATACAAGATGAAACAGAAAAACTAAATACTGTAAATCTCAACTGCAACTCAACATAACTTTGTGACCAGGAACAAGCTCTTACATCTCACCCGGACTGCAGATGTTTACACGCCAAGCACAACCCATTCTTGGGACAGGATTACAACACCCACATCGAGTTGCGCTCACATAGATGGGATGGACTTGCAGCAAAACCAGACAAAGTTAAGAGCAGCACAGGTGAGGAAATTAAGGTCCCCAGCAAGGGTATCATGAAAAGAAGCAGCTCCAAATGCAAGCTGTGAACTTGAAAGCCACCCCTGAAAGACAGTCCCTGGGCTCCTGAAACTTCTTGTGAGGACTGGGTGTATTTCTCAACAGATAGAACTGAATTTAGCCTAACTACACAGGGTTCAAGCCAGCTTGTCAATGCCTTGAATCTATTGAAAGAGAGAGAGATGTGCTTGAATCCAGGTACTTTCTGCCCTTTCTTGTGATGTGCGAAATGGACAGGCTGCTCCTAGATTTTTCTGATAACCACAGTGGCCTCTTCCTTTCGGGACATACAAATCTAACTTTTTTTTGGTTCTTTTTAAAGGAATTGTGAACTCGAGGCAGGAAGAAACCGGCCATGCCTGTGCGTTAGCCTCTCAAGAGCGTGCCGCCAGCAAACGTTTCTCCTTAAAGCCGTACACAGCAGCGCTCCAAACACACATCCACAAACGGCCACTCCTGGAGATAAAGCACCTCGCCAAGAAAACAGTGGAAACGTTTCTCCCTAGGAGCAGGCAGGAATCTTGTTTCGCGAAGCTGCTGAGGGTGGCAGGTTTGATTTTAACTGCAGCTCGTTCCCTTCTCTAGGCAGTGCACTTCTCAGAGGGGAAATAAATAGGCTGGGGGGTGGAAAAAAAAGAAACAAGACAAAACAAAACAAACCCAGAAGCTTGCAGGGGGGAACCTGCAGGGAAGCAGGCTACAGTGCAAACAGGGCGGCAGAGCAGGGCTGTGGGCAGGCGGGCAGGGCTGGCCCTGGCTGCGGGAGCAGCAGCGCGGGTGTGCAGGGTGTGCGGGGTGTGCAGGGTGTGCGGGTACAGCCTCCTCCTGCACCCCACACTGGGGTGGAGGCAGGAAAAAGGGAGGGGGGGGGCAGGAGGCACTTTCCAAAAAGGAAATTTAACCCGGCCCAGGATTTCCAAACTGCAATAATTTTCCATGGGCCAATCAGGGAGGAGCGAGGCAAACGCACCAAATTAGGAAAGTAAATACTGGAAGGGGGAGAGGGAGGAGGAGGAGGAGAGCTGAGCTCATGAAAGTGCCTCCCAAACTCCGGGAGGGGATGGGGGTGCGGGGTCCCGAGCCCCCTCCCACCGGCCCAGGCCCTTGGCAGACCTTGGCACAGCGTGTGCCAGCCTCGCTCGGTCCCGGGATGAAACCGGGCCCCGCTGCAGAGACCCATCCTGAGAGCCAAGCCGGCCGCTTCTACGCCCCGCGAAGAGCATTCCCGTTCTCGGGCAGAAACACCCGAATCGCTTCCTGCGACGCGGAGGCCAGGATATGAGAGCCGCAAGACCCCGCGCAGGGCCAGGGCAGGTTGCAGGGGCTGAACGGGGATGTTTACAAACGGGTCGGCCCCTCCTCTGCGAGAGGGACTCAGAAACGAAAGGGATCTGGATGTGAAACCTCACGAGTCTTTTGAGGTTTTCTGAAGACTCTGCTGGATTTGCTTCTGCTCAAGACAAACGGATGCAACCATTAATCATCTTTAGTAAACACTCCGTTAGGGGCCGAGCACAATTCAACACTACTATTTCCACTTTCTCCGTATGCAAAAGAAACATTCGCGGGGAGTCAAATGACAGTTGCAGGCATATGCCAGAGTCAAAAGACGCAGCCTCTGTTAGTAACATAAACCACACTGCTGCTTTGCACAGGATGACTGAATGGAAACTAACTACCATATGTTGGCAAAGAAACCATCCCCCTCCTCTCCCAGCAACAAGCTTCATCTAAAAAGAGAAGGTTAAATATAAACTAAAAGCAGTGCCTGAACAGAGGACTAAAACCACAGCTACCACCAGCCCCCTCTTTCTAGAATATCTGCACTGAACATCTGTGCTACTCTGCAAGCGGTGGGGGGGGGGGGGGAAAACCCAAACAAGCAAGTGCCTCTCGATCTATGCAAAACCAAACCACCTTCATTGTGACACTGAAGTCATTCTCAGCCATATACATTTCAAAACTACTCATTAAATTACTGTTAACAACCAGAAGATGCTTGTGTATTATATCATTTTAAAAATCTTTGGATAAGAAAACAAAACAAAGGCTGTTACCAAGCAGACTTCTATTCTGATGCTGGCACTTCAGCTTTTAAACCGTAACACTCAAATCACTGTCCTATACCTGCCAGTGAACTTTATTATATTTTGCAAATAAGGTGTACTATACTGGAAACGATATCTTTAATGTTAAATGAGATCACTGCAACTCTGTAACATAAACTCTTTGCCGAGAAAGAGGGAAAGAAAATATTTGAGACAATAACTTGATGTTCAGGTTATTTCTATTGCACGTTCATGAATCAGCTCATGTACAAAACAGGATATTCGCACAGATACACATTCAAATTGCTACAGCCCCTCAGTGTATGGTCAGCAGCCTACCCCCCTTTCCTTCTGTTCACAGAAAACCACATGCCAATGGCTACCCTTGGCCCTTACTTCAGATAGTAACAGCACCAGCAAGCATCAACAGAGTTTTATTAAGATAGAAAATATTTGCCTGCTTTCTTATGTTAGAACTGCCTGTTTTATCTTTTTCTCCATACATATAGGTAGCTCTTGATAGATATTTCTAATTAATTGCCAGAAATGGTTTCATACTATGGAGATATTCCTTCATCTCTAAGGCTCATTGGTTTTTTTCCGCTCTTGTCATTGGAGCTCTTAAACAAAACCCTCGATCCCTATTTCTGGCCACCATTAACAAAGTTCTTTCAACTGTCTTCCATCATTCTGAATATCAAGTATTTAACAAGTTTTTTTTTTTTTTTTTAATATATATAGGGCATTTCATGCATCATGTGCACTGGATAAATGACATGAGGCTGATAAAGACTAGTGTCGGACAGCAGAGATGGAGCTTGCAGACAGCATGGAGAAAGACGACTCGATTCCCAACAGCAGCGCTCAGGGTAGTTACCGTCTTACCTGATAGTGCCTGTGGGGGACGGGAGGGGACTGACCACGCTCCGGAGATCCGGCTCCGGAATGTGGATCTTCAGAGGTGATATCTGAGGGTAAAGAGGCCGAAGGGGAGGCGACGAAGCTTCCTCTTTTGCTTCCTCTTTATGGTATAAAGATGTGAACTGGATTTTTATAACCGTGCTAGGGAATCGAAAAGTACACCTGCACAGGAAAGAGAAGGAAAATTCAGTTTCACAGAGGATGTACACAAAAACCATGTAAAATGTATTTTGTAATTGGTGTCGCATTAATTCATTCATCGCACAAGAGCCTACCTTCCTGTAAAGTATCTTTCTGCCCAGATTACTGAACACATCTCTGCATACGTATGAGAGTGATTTTTAGATGCAAGCTGAAGGTTTGGGCAGGCTAAGTCGTTTCCCCATGGCCACGTATCCCACCAACGACTCAGCAAGATGCAGAACTACAGTGACAAGCTCTTGGGTTCCCGCTATTACGAGGACTGGAATTTATCTTTTATTAGCACATTGCAAATAACTCACCCAGGAAGGTGCAAGTTACTAGAAAGTATCAAACCACAAGCAACATGGATCAAAAGAAACAGAAAGGCCAGACCCAGCAACCAACAGCCTCCAGGTAGACCAGACAGCACTATTTACAGACCAGCATGAACATGTTGTATAACTAATACCCATTTATATCTCTGCACATGATGCTAAAGGATCATCTAGCAGGTTTCAGATTAAAATACATTTATTTAGAAGTGCCTCCCTTTAGATAGCATACAGGGTCAGAAGAGGGCCCATCAAGCCTTTAGGACCTAAGTACGTTTCTTTCCGAAAAATTTTAATCACAGATCTAAGTGTAGCCTTTGAGAGATGCTGGGAAATTCAGAAGGAAATAAGCACTGACATTTTCCATATTTGAACAGAGAGCTTTCTAATTTATAGTGTCTACCACAGGAACAGGGCTGTAAAAGCGAGTGTTCTACAACTCCACCTTATTGCACTTTAATTAGACAATAACGTGCAATCAATACAAGCTTTCCAGGGATCATTTTGCTGATACTAAGGTTAGAGAAGCAGGAAATAAAAACCAGGTTTCACTGTGGAAAAGGCCAGCAGAGCACAGTAATTATGCTGGTTTCCACAAGCTCGCCTATAGAAGGAAATTAAGGGAATCAAGCAGTGTTGTTCTAGCACTGTAAAACCCAGCATAGTCAGGACACAATTCTTTTAACTAATGTGTTATTGAATCCTGCCAGGTAACAGAATAAGGTGACAGGTTAGTAAATTGGTGTTCGAGACTAACTTATCCCACTGCTGCTATTGCTAGAAGCAGAGGAAAACACGCCATTGCTGCTCTAAGAACATACTCGCTTGTTCTTGGTATAGCGTGACCTATTTCTGCAGGAAGGTAATGCTCAGAAACCTGCCATGAAGAGTGCAAAATTATCATTCAGGCACGGGGAGCTCATTCCCATCTCATCTCCCAAATGAGCTTACTCAGCGTTCGGCAGCTTGGAATCACAACGGCTCTGCTCTGTGCAGCTGGCGTTTGCATTGCATTTAATTCACTTCAGAGGTCCTGCCACCTGCACTCATTAATGCATCATATAAGAACATCATTGCTGGCAATGCAGCCTAATCATGTTTACCTAACCCTTCTAAACATGGTTCCCTGCAGACTCAATAGAAGAGCGCAATTCAAAACAGTGGAGTGCCTGCACCTTGCAGTATCTATTAGCAGCAGGCACAAAACTTAGATGAACCTGAAACAAGACTGTTGAAACACGACTCCAGGGTTTCAGCTTTTGTACTGCTGCATGGATTTGCTTATAGAAAAAACAGAGAACACATACATTTGCACTTGAGTATTATATCGACTAAGGCTCAACACCAGAAAGGGCAAAGCTTAGACATTTTTCAATCCCTTACTGGGGAAAAGCTAAGCTTTCATGGAGCGATGGAATTCTCTACTACAATGCCAGGTGCCCAGCATTTTTCAATATCTGAGTCAAGGACAAATTAGTGCTTGTTAAACACCGTGCAGTGCAATGCCAACCTGCTGATGATCTCACCACGTCTGATTGCAGAGCCCTAGGGCAGTTCTGCAACAGTGTCTAGGCCAGGAGATTCCCACTGCAGCTCCACACCAGCGACAATCTCTACCCTACTGTCGTTTAAGGCTTCCCTTTGAGAAGGGCCTAGTAATGCAAGGCTAGCATTTCCGACACGTTACTGCTTCCAAGCAATGGTGCAGCTAGCTCCTTATAAACAGCCATTCCTTCCTGCTCACTAGATCCTCCATCCTACTATACCTTCTGATGCTGTAACGTTACCTAAAAGCGTCATAAGCTGCACCCAAAACTGCTACGCTGCCCCATCAGTCTGTGAGTATGGGTAGCCTTTACAAAAGCTAACTTTTACTTTTCCAAAATCATGAGTCAATCTGAAATGTGAAGTCTAGCCTAACCCTGTAAACATGTGTGCAGAAAAGGCCCTGTGTAACATTGCTTTTCCTTGACAGCCCTCCCCAAAGCTATCAAATTCAGCCACGTGACTTACCCACAGTCTTAAAAGAGAACAAGGGAAGAGAAACAGAGAGGCTGGGCTGGGCTGACTGCACAAGCAAACAATTTGTTGGCTGCTGTGATTTCACTTTTAGGAAGACAAGCTCCCCAGCCCGCTGAAGCAGAACCCAGGACACACAACCAGTTTTAACATATTTTGCTAACTAGCACATAGCTGGCCATTTTGTAAAGAACCAGTCCTACAAAAATCAGAGAATAGGTATATGCAAGCGTGTTTTACAGCTTTAGAAACTTTCTGAAGCCTGGTCTGTGCTAGTGCTTCTTCTGTTAACACTGCCTGTGGAGCCACAGTGGGGGCAATTTATCAGAAGAGTTGTCCTAAATTAAGACTTTTTTTTTTTTTTTAAACTGCCATACATTCTAAACCTTTGCTCGGAACAGACAGGCTGCAGCTAGCTATTTAAACAAAAACTATACACTTACTGTTGTGAAAAACCCAGGATGCAAGAAGTTACCCTAATGACAAATACCAAGTGTATGCATTCCTCAAGATTACTGTATATATTTGAAGTTATTTAAACTAAGTTATACTATTTGATCCATGTTGTACGATTCCTATCAAACAAGCTTAGCAGTTACTACTACTCCTTAACGCTTCCATCATGAGAAAAAGCTCAAACGGACAGGACACATTAGACTCCACATAGTAAGCATAATGAAGATAACTGGTATTTTCAAAGGTGCCTAACAGGTAACTCTTAAGCACGTCTGAGATCCCCAGCTGATTAAAGAGGGTTAAATTTATGGTCGGCAAAACTCCTGGGTGGTTACAGGCAGGAAGCAACCTGCTTTAACTCCAGAAATGCTGAGTTTTGTTCAATACCTGCTACAGGCAGGTACATCCCACAATCACTGGCCATATAAGCCAAACATTGTATTCATACACAGTTATAACACGTTATAGCATACATCTCAGTTCCTTGTGGGAAAGGGATTCCCATTTCTCCGGGATGCTTTGCAAGACAGCGTGAACATTTCTGTTAAAACAACCTGCATCACCATATCCATAAACTGCACCTCCATAAAGTGCATAAAAAACAATTCTTGCCTTGCAAGATTGCAGGCAGAAGGGAGTCTAAGAAAACGGGTTGCTGGCTGGCTGCTGCATGCATGGGTTACACTCCACAGCACCAGCTGGATGCATGCTCTGCTTGGGAGACCAAGGCAAGGAGAAAGGCTGAACACGCCACACATGGCTACAGGGATGTATAAGAGATGTTGCTGGTATCTTATTTAAAAAAAAGATTTTTCCAAAAAGTTTCCTGGATAAGCTCCTCACACTGACAACACAACACCCATGCTATTAAGCATCCTTCATGTGGTGAACCAGTGACAGTGACCACAAGCATTTCATCTACGTAAGGTCTGAAAATAAAATGCTAGGAAACACTAGACTTTACATAAACATTCACCCCAAAAGCAGACTTCAGGGAAAATGGTTCGGGTGGAGGGGGAAGGCAAGAAGATTCCACTGCATGATTTTCTATAAAAAGCAGAAATATTCTCCCCCTCCTCAAAGCGTCTTTTACTCACACATGCGAAAGAAACTGAGATTCACGAGCCAAAACACAGCACCAGACTGAACAGAAACAGAAGCCATTACAGTCACTGGTTTCTTTGTTAGAGCACCCCATGGGCTGCTCAACGCCACATGGCTTCTGCTAAGATCTGCTGCGCAAGAGCAAGAGAAGAGATTTTAAAGAGAGGCAGGAAATAAGGCTAGATTTGCGTTTTCATATTTACACCGTGGAAAAGCACAGTGACAAAATGGAGAAGACACATAATTCATGAAAAACCCAAAGTGAAGCATATATATAAAACATCATTCCAGTTTATTATGCAAAAGGGAATAACCAGAAAAGTAAGTTGTAAGACTGTTACACATGAATTGTGATCAGCAAGCAGTACCATCTTTGTCTACTCTACCTTGCCTTAATTTCTGGAATCTCGTTATTCCTGAATGGTGCAAGTACAAACGCACTAGTGGCATCTGTGTCATCAACGGTGCCAAGATGCAGGTTGAGTGAGGAACAAGGTTTTATGCAACGTTTCATTAAAAACAGCATTTTCAGCAATTTGAATCAGAACAGTAACATAGGGCTGGGGCTTCATTCAGAAAAATTTGCCAGGATGATGGTCTCCCTTGACCGGAACTACCACTTTTTCTTGTTAAGCTTACAGAAAGATACTGCTACTGCATTATTGACTCTAAACATCTAAATCTTCCCTGCAGCTCTATCAAGTGAATGGACAGTAGCCCAACTCTAAGAGTGAAGCAGATAATCTCTAGGATCAGTAAATTCCTTGGATTCAGCAGACATTCATAGCCAGAGCTTTAACTGTAGCAGCAAATGTAGCAATGGAGCAGAACTGTCGTTACTAGCTAAAATTCGATCAAGGATCTCCATGAAATCCCTATTAAAAAAGTGCCCCCCCCACAACAGCCCAAATTGTGTCCCTAATATCTTCTCTGAAACCAATCTCTTCATTGCATCATTAAGTGTAACGTACCTCAAAGAACATGGTATTATTCCTATGTGCAAAATTTCAAAAACATCTAGAGTTTCCTAGCCCAAGCGAGAATTTGCTTTCAGTCATCTCTGTCAAG